GAGTGAATTGATGATATAACCTACTGTCAATGGATTTAGGATTGAACGAAGTCACTTTACTTGCATCCTGACCCATACTTACTAGAAAAATAAAAACCTATTTACTTGTGGTCGAATAGTCAACATTGTAATTCATAAAATGTGCATAGAACTGTATAGATTGTGGACACAACTACTAGCATAGAGGTGTTCTGCTGGCTACGTGACAGCCTGTTGCATAATTGTTTTTCTCTAATGACCAGTAAAACTGCAACCATAAATTGATGATGCAGGTCTACCTTTAATTACATCACCTTTGTGTATAAGATCTTTTCTCTGACAAAACTTAGCCATTATTATATAATGTTTTTGTCTTTATTAATAATATTATAGTTACAAATGTCTGGGGAGTGGGTGAACAGCGCTGATAACTTCTGTTATTATGTGGTGAGGTGATATGTCTCCCTTAAAAAAAAATATAACTAAAGTGATTAAAAAAAAGTTAGTTTGTCTTTTAAATGGAAAATAGGAGAGCAAGATGGGAGTTGGTCGCCATACTGATTCTGCATTTCATGTCCAGCAAATCCTTATTAAACTGTAGTTGCTGTCCCTGTGTTTTAGAGAGAGCCCAACTGATCATCTCAACAACTGTTACCTTTTGCAGGGTCCCTCCAATTGGAAAAAGCGCATCAAAGAAGAAGAAATGGACTCCGGAGTAGCATAACATCCTCTCTGCAATATGTCTAATACCACATGGCGATGACCTACAAGTACCCAAAGGGCCATAGTTATTTCTGACTACTTTTACTGATGAAGAAGAGGACATTAGTGGCCTTGAACCACCACCCTAAAATGACCCAGATTTTTAGCAAACAGCATCCACTTAACACACTTAATAACCCAAACTAAATTGAATGGTCTCGTAAAAGTATTGAATTTACCTAAGAACAAAGCAGGGCTTTTGGGTTTCAGAATGCCACATTGAAATCTTCTGACAGAATATGTCAGAAATCCCGTGTATAGGTACCGGCAGAAGACGTTAAATATTTTTTTTTCCCTGAAAAAAAACGTTCACCTTTCTGAATGCCACAACAATTTTGGGCTAATGAAATCACTTACAAATCGAAGAATGGAGGCTCTTTATTGATTCATCCAAAACGAGTCTCAAAGCGGTTTTGTTCACTAATGGTAATATGTTACCGTAATTTCTAGTTGGTCCGCAGTTCATGTGGAAGAAACTTATGAAAACATTAGGCAGCTTTTGAAGTGTATAAACTGGGATCATCATTATTGGTCACTTTACAGCGATTTACATGTGGTAGCTCTTTTGTTTGGACTACGGGGGGGGGGGGGAGGATATGCAAAATACTGGTGCTTTCTCTGTGAATGGGATAGCCGTGCACGTCATGAATTTTATATGAAATGACATTAGCCAGTCAGGTGGTCATTGCAGCCTGTTAGTAAGAACGTCAAAAACCCAGCAACTGTCGACATCAGCAAGATATTGTTGCCATCCTTGCACCTTAAGCTGGGTCTCGTGAAAAACCTTGTCAAGAACATGGAGAAAACAGATATTGCCTTTAAACATCTTATAAAAAAATTTCAAGACTGAGTAAGCCTAAATTGGAAAGGGAATCTGTGTTAATCCGCAAATTCAAATACTTCACGGAATGCACACGGGGACCGCTAATGTTAAGAGCAATCTTCCACAAAAAGAATGTCTGATTTCAAGACTAATGTTGCCATCGCGTGTTTTTGACATGTTAGTTCACAGTCTCAGGAATTGTACCTTATCTGCAGAAATTTTCTGCTCAAACCCCTTTTCCTCAATGTTTTTCTTCATTCAACGCGGACCATGACATCATGCTCCTAAGAATCCACTTCAGTTTGTGTACCATTTATATCGCATTTGTTCACATCCTGATATGGCAGTAGCAGCAAACGTGGACATGTTTTAAAGTAAAGTAAAGTAAAGATCCCTTTTCACGCCTTTTGGCGCATCGGGCATATGGACAGAGCGCCCCATATTTTTACAGACCATCAGCACTCGGTGGGTTATGTGGTCAGCATTAAGCCGGCTGTCTTTACTTTCCCAGGACAGCCCATCCTGGTACCCATTTTAGGCTGGGTCGACCTGCGACGTCCCATACCACAACAAAAATCCACGCAGCCTGCAGTGGGTTTCGATCGTGGTATGCTGGCTTACGAGTCGGACTCGCAAAGCCTTAGCCACGGACGCCGCCTTGGACATGTTTTACCTATCTGTAATTCAAAACAGAAGATGGCTGTCGGGACTATGCAATCCTCCTTTCTCCAAAAGTGTGTAGCCATCTGAGAGTTTAGAGACTGACCACTGAGCAAACCTTTGCAATTCCTGCTCTTCCCCTACTCCAGTCGTATTTTGTGCATTATGCTGTGTAAATGTATATTTTTTTTTTCAATTTCCATATGGTTATTTTCCAGTTACATGTGGTGTTAGCTCTACTCTCTAATTGTTTGTTTTTATTCTCGGTGATTGTGCTATATACTAAGGCTGAGTATACATAGCTTTTGACAACTCTTATTTATATATTGCCTGTTATCGCTCTAGATATAAAAAATATATTTGATAATTTGTATTTTTTTTTTCAACAGAAAATAAGAAGGAGATACAGGACCCAGTGGGTCAATTAAACAGGCAGAGTTTTAACATATGGAAAACAAAAACCTATGGTAATTAGTAATAAAATTTTAAAAAAAAAAACACACTACCGTACGTAGTGTTAACGAAGACATATTAGAACACGTGACACGTTTCTTCTATATTGAACTCATAATGACAGATGATGGCAGAAGTGAAACGGAAATCAGAATGGCTAAAACTATCTTCAATAAACAAATTCCCTAGAAATAGAAAGGCAGAGTTTCTTTAGGCTACAGGATACCTCATGCAGTCCCATCTGATCAGAGTTTGAAGTCACTAGTAAAATAGCCTATGAAGTCGAGCTAGAGAAAAAAGAAAATTACAGATCAGAAGAGCATGTTGTAAGGAGAGGAAAGAAGCAGGATTTAAACAAATTGCAATTATATCATTCTTTTGGTTTGATTACAGAGTAATATTTTAAATCACCCCCCCCCCCCCCCCCCCCCCCAGCCTAGAGCCCCAAAAAAATGTCTGGCACCTTGCCAACAGTATTTTGTAGGTTGATAATCCTGAAACCGCTGGTCTTTGCCTGGTTTTGGAAGTGGGATTAGGTCGCTTCGTACTCAATCATGGGGTACTGACGCTGTTCTGATGTTCTGATTGAAGTGAAAAGCCATCTCTCTCAAGTCTTCACCAATCATTCTCTTAATGTAAGCATACGTGACTGCTTCTGGTCCCAGCGCAGTGTCGTGACTCCTTCTGGTCCCAGCGCAGTGTCTTTTGCTTTTTTGCAATATACATTTTAAATCCTCCACCCTAATGATATCCTGAAAATAATTATCATGTATAGTATTTGACACATTATCTCTGACTGAATTTTTAAGTTCCGTATCATTATGGTCAGTTTGGGCTATAAATCTTTCCAAAAGTGCTTCCCTTTCTCTTTCTCTGCTGTCAATGGTATACCATTTTCAATGTATATGCTGCCTCTTGTGATAAACCGATCTTTTGCATCTGTGTGTAAAGTTTTCAAAATTTACCAAATAATTTAACATCTGCAATTTCGTTCATAAAAAGTTCAGATTTAGCCTTTTTTTTTCATCTGCTGCACACCGCTTGATCTCTTCTACGTTTTGTTTTCTAACTCTTCCTAGCTTCTCTACATCCACTTGTAGCCTGTGGGATGTTTTTCGTACTTTATGTAATTTGTTTCGGTTCTTTTCCACTTTCCCCTCCTCCTCATTTTTTTTCCGTCTTTTTCTTTTTCTTCTTTGCATTTTATTTTGTATGCTTGGGTAAGAACGCCAGGAGGCTTCCGCATGTCAGTTGCCTTCATGGTTTCTTACTGATTGTTCTGCACACTTTGCTCTTGATGCCAAGTTTTTTTTTTAGAAGTTGTAGGTAGAGTGGACAAGTCTGAAGAATGTGCTCAGGTGTTTGTGGTTCCGTCTGACATGCACACCGTGGGGACTGTAGGTTATTTATTTTATGCATGTAATAATTAGAATGCTTAAATAGTGAACCAGGGAAC